TTTCACATTATTGAAAAGGTAACGTATCTAACTTACCGTAGCAAAACCGTCGAATGCACGAGCTACATACGCGTAGGATTATACTCATTTTCCTCAAGTCACGTTCTCTTTTTCTCTTTCTCTCTCTCTCTCTCTCTCTCTTTTTCTTACTCTTTCTAATCTCTACTTTCTTTCCATCGTCGACACAATCGTTCTACCAATGGCTTTTATCAAAAGAGGGGAAAAGAGGAGGAAAAAAGTCTATCGTCGTTTTCGCTCTTATAACAAGTGAAATTCACTATAATAAATCAAACCATCATCGTAATAGCGCTAAGTGCGATTCTCAACTGGTGTACATATGAGAAATATATTTCAAAAGTTATTATACTTATATATTTTTAAAAAACGTTATTACATTTTCTCTATTTTTTTTAATTATAACACATCAGATACATGTAGCGTTATAATACCGTTCGTATTGTTAAATATTGCAAAATAAAAAACTGAAAAAGAAAAAAAAAAAAAGAAAAAAAAAAGAAAAGTAACGAATTTTATTATATTATATATTCCACGAGTAAACTTCTATTTTCTAAACGTCAGACGTTAATGCGGAATGAACATTTAAAGGGCTAATACTACATCCTGATTACGATGCTCTCTTAATCTCTCCTATGAATTTTTTGAAAGAACGAACGCTAATTCAAATGAACCGATCGATAATGAACGAGACGATGGAATAGTCGTGAGTACACTTAAAAAATAATCAAAAATGGAGTTTTATTACGTAAACGCCATGACTTTTCATTATTTTCTTTTTCCTCTCAACGCTATTATTATCATCGTCCTCATTATCGTTATACCCATTGAACTTCATTACGGGAAAAGGGTGGAATTTGATACCGAAGGAAAAAAAGTTTATGTGGCATCCTGAAGAAAATAAAAGTGCCCTTTCTATTTTTGCTTGTAATATTATCAGATTTATTATTTTTCTTTTTCCCTGTTATTTTGCTATCCCTTTTATCGATGAAATATCCCGACTAGCTGATTCTAACAGAAAAAAATATGCACACATACATACGATGCGCAGACACAGAAGAAAAAAAGGAAAAAAGAAAAAAAAAAAACCTTGGATTTTACCACAGATTTTCGTATCCATTGAAAAAGTTTGGGGGATCGTATTGTTGAACTCATAGTGTGGGAGAGAGAGAGAGAGAAGAAGAGAGAGAGACAGAGGATAAGAGAGAGACAGAATAAAACACGCGTAGAGCGTACCAGATTTCAGTAAAAGGAAATCCGTATTAGTGCGTAAATCTAATAGAATTTGCAACTCGACACTAAAATTTGCGTATAGTCAAGCGACCTTCTTTCTCTTTCAATATTTTATCGAGATTACAAATCTAATATTCATTTTATCGTATGGTTAAAACGAAAATCGGAATTATCTGAATAGAAAATGTTTTAAGCTTATCATTATTGTTAATTCATTAGAAATGATAAGAGTCAAAATATATTTGATGTATACTTGTACGAACATAGCATACAACGATAAAGTGCTATAACTATTTATATATATACAATATATATATATATATATATAATATATATATATGAAGAGAGAGAGAGAGAGAGAGAAAGGGAGGGGGATGGAGGAATATACAAGTAAAGAGAAGTTAAAGCTTATGTATGTACGAGCTTTAAATCCGTGCGCAGGGTAAACGTACTTACGAAGTATTTGTTTACGACCTAAAACCCCTGGGAGACAAGTGTCCATGCGAGAGGGTAGTGGAATTCAGTAGCAGCGCAACGTGGCTATGCCGGAGATAAGAGTGCCACACTGTAAATTCCATCACTATATCGCTAAACATATATATAATATATATTTATATATATATTTATATATTTATATATTTATATATTTATATATTTATATATTTATATATTTATATATAAATATATATATATTTATGTATATGTATGTGTATACGGAATTGCATAAAGTAAGAGGCATCCAAATTTAACGCTTCCATTTGTACGTCATTTTCTCTCATCGTTTCTTCATTTCATTTCTCTCTCTCTCTCTCTCTTTCTCTTTCTGTTTCTTTCTCTTTCTCTCTCTGTTTCTTTCTCTTTCTCTCTCTCTCTCTCTTTATCTCTTTCTCACGAAAAGACGGAAATCTACCTGCGGCCAGCTTTTAAAAGCAACCTCAGAAAGACAGATAGATGGATGAATAGAAAAGGAAAGAGAAAAAAAGAAACTAGGTTCTCTCTTTTTCTCAAGAGTGGTTTATAAAGGAATTCAAATCTTCACAAAACGAAAGGATTCGAATGAGTTCGAATGCCGGGAGCAAAAGTGGAAAAAGGATGCCAACATGAGAGAAGGTAAGAGCCAAAATTCCTTCTCCAATGCGATGCAATACTCTGCTATTCTATGCTACGCTATGCACAAGAGCCAAAGGCAGTTTTGTGAGGATCGATTTTAGAGAAAGTATTCGTTCATTTTGCCTTAGGTAATTTTTGAATGGAAATATTTAAAGAATAAAAGAAGCCTTAGAGAGAGAAAGAAAGAGAGACAGAGAGAGAGAGAGAGAGATAAGAAATCAAATCGATTCATTTCATTTGATTTTCCGAGAGAATTCCTCTTACGTTGATAAAAATAAGGAAAAGAAGGAAATGATAGGAAAGTCTTAAGTAGAATGGCGACTCGGAAACGAACTCACTATGACAAGTGCGATTATTAAAATCGCATATACTCAACTCTTACATTAGATACATCTTTGTCTTCTTCTTATTTTTTCTATCTATTAAGTCATACGTTCATACGCGCACATGCACACACACACACACTCACACACATACGCCAAAGAATGGCACACATACATAGATACTTAAAGATACATACATACACTAGAAACTCTTAAAAAGAACAATCAATTTCGTATCCCCGCGAGTATACATACTACGTGACAATATTCGAAGAAGCAACGGGAATAGAGAATCGATGTTATTTCTCGATGAAATACAAATTTCGTAGTCACGTTACTGCTTATTCGATGTAGTATGTAGATATACACACTGACACACAAACTCACACACACACACACACACACACACACACACACACACACACATACAGACATACATACATACAGACAGATGAACATACACAGAGATACGTACGTATGTACGTACGTTATCGGTTGACTATAGAGTGACGATCAACAGACTGTGACGAAGGAGAGAGTGGTTGTCGTCGTCTTCGGCGAGGAGTAGGCGCGAATCGATTGTCAAATGCGCAGGGGATCCGTGTGCGAGTGTGACGGCTTGTGTCGGGCAGCGCAGAAACTCAGACCGAAGCACAGCATCAGCAAGATTACCGAACCGATGAGGAGATGACTGGACCAGGACAATGAGCATTTGCCTGAAACGTACAAACCGTTGACAGGTCATCATCGACTCTAAACCTGTCGTCTCTTTGACCGATGAATTTCTGCTTTGCTGCGGGACCATTCTCTGTTGTTCCACCGTTCTAATACAACTTGATTCTCTATCTCTATCTCTATTTCTATTTATATCTCTATCTCTATCTCTATCTCTATCTCTATCTCTATCTCTATCTCTATCTGCCTTTCTATCTCTTATATATGGTTACGTATCACCGTTCTATCCTATCCCATAAGCGATTACGTGCACTTGTCACAACAATATGCTTACCCTAAGGGACACTTCAAGTTCAAGATTTGAGCTTAATCGAGAGAGAGATAGAGAGAGAGAGAGAGAGAGAGAGAGATCCCAGGAGACAAAGTCGAGCCAATTATTGCGCACGATGCATCATTCTCGGTGATTCAAACGGAATGTTATTCAATTCGACTGAAATTTTCAAAACACTTGTCGATTCCCCTAAAGAGTCATCATAATTTTGTTCACGAAAATATTTCAAATATACATATATCTTACGATTATTCGTTTATTCTCTTTTTGACGTTAAATAATTTCGTAGTTACATTTAAGTCGATAAAAAGGAGAGTGCCATTGGCATTAATAGCTTTTACGATAGAACAGATAATATTGTAAGAACTTACTGCTTATTGTAGTACGTAGAAAGAGTATCGGAAAATCTTTTTTTGAAAATCGAAGAAAAGAAAGTATCGGAAAATAGGATATATTTAGCGTACAAAACGTGTGAAGATAGAATCGAACTCACGTACACACATATATATATAGAAACGTACAGATACATGTATATATATATATATATATATATATATATATATATATATGTATGTATATATGTACATGGCAGTTTTAAATCTATTTCGTTAAGGAAAATGACTTCGCTTTCCCTACAATCTCTCTCTCTCTCTCTCTCTCTCTCTCTCTCTTTCTCTCTCTTTCTCTCTCTTTTTCTCTCCTTCTATTTAAACTTTCTACAAAAATCCTTTTCGACAGATTTTCTTCCAAAGTACATACTGCTACTATTCACGAAAGCAACTTTCAGAAAAGCTTTCAGAAAATCTCCTAGCTGTGTCAACATAACGGAACGCGAAATATCGTTAAACGTCCATTAAAATTGCTTGAAAATTAAATGGATCACCGAAGTTCGATTTAATAGAAAGTCTGCTTATAATCAAATCGTTGAATGAACCGTAAGAAACGTGACTCGACAAACGTCTCTCTCTCTCTCTCTCTCTCTCTCTCTCCCTCCCTCTCTCTTTCTTTCTCGATCTATCTATCTGTCTATCTACTTATCGATCTCTTTTTCTCTTTTTTATTCCTCAATAAATCGCGGAAAAATCTCGGTGATCGAAAACGTTCTCGCGAGAAGTTAATTCCAGGGGCGGTCGCGCGTCGTAACAGTTTCCTGTCGGGTCGATCGGTCGCAGATAAGTTCATTTCTCCTGGAATCCTTGGGGAATTCTTTGAGATAGGGTCACGACGGAAGCTTCAAATTGATTAACCCTTTCCGGGGGAATAGAAAGAGAAAGAAAATAGAAAAAGGGTAAGATTGAATGAGAACTGAAAGACCAGAGCAAATTAGATTTGAATTTTAATTCGATGATTATTAGTACTGTCTGTATGCAATAAATTAAAAAAAAAATACATATATATATATATATATATATCTACATGTATTATAGACAGAAACAGAATGTCAGAAAGAGATAGATAAACGGAAAATAAAAAAGAGAAAGAGATAGATAGATCGATAGATAGATAGATAGATAGGTAGATAGATAGAGAAAGAGAGAGAGAGAGAGAGAGAGAGAAAATGAGACATCATAATAAAGAAACAAGAGAAACAGATAGCAATAAACGGTTAGGAAGGTTACTGTTAAGGTCGAACGAATAGCGTAAGTCTGCGATACAGCCTAGGTTCATAAACTAACACAAAAAGGGGTTAGAGGGCTCGTGCCTGCCTCGAGGATAGAGAAAGTTCCGCGCGCATGTGAGAGAGAGAGAGAGAGAGAGAGAGAGAGAGAGAGAGAGAGAGAGAGAGAGAGAGAGAGATAGAAAGAGAGAGAAACCGACAGTAAGAGCGTCGTTAGGTTCCGTGGTTATACGAGGTGCGTAATGATCGTTGCGCGGTCGACCCTTACATCGGCGATTAGCACCATTCTACGAGAAGGAAATGACGAGCTTGCTTCTATAACGAGAGAGAGAGAGAGAGAGAAAGAGAGATAGATAGATAGAGAGAGAGAGAGAGAGAGAGAGAGAGAGAGATAGAGACAGAGAGAGAAACAGCTTACTCACCGAGATTGTACACGTTCGCAGCCTTGCCGCAGGACTCACGTACTTCTTGATTGTCCCATCCAATGGGGTACATCACCAAACCACCACATATCATTGTAGCTGTAACGTAGAGACACAAGACAGCTGGAATTTGTCTCATTAGTTTTGATATTCTATGCTATAAGATTATATAAACTAGGGAATAAGTAAGGTGGATAAGAATAAAGAGAAAGAGAATGAGAATGGAAAGAGGAAACGTATGTATGTTGTTTCTATGTCTCTTTTTGTATAGGTAAACTAACTTTCCACGTAGAAACATCATCGATCTTCCCACACTCCTTGATAGAAACACGCTTGAAACCGAGAAATTCCAGAAATGTCACGGTTCACCGCTGTAAGGTGGTTGCTCGACGATGAAGAAGAAGACGACGACGACGACGACGACGACGACGACGACAACGACGACGAGAGATAAACTCGATTCTGCGGTAGATTATCTCAAGGATAGCAACGTCGATCGAAGGATTACCTCGAGGAACTCGGTTATAAGCGGGACCATTTAACAGGAACGTGGAAAGTTCGATAGGCTTTCGGTAGGAAGGATAAATTTCTCGATTTTCCAGAAATTCTAGATTATTGCGTGATCCAATGTGGTTTCTCTTTTGAGAATTATTCAAATTAGACTTAGTTGTTTAAAAAAATACGAGAATAAATTCGTATAGAGTTAAAAACCGATCGAAGAATTTTAATCATAGCGAATCGAATCAATTGGAAATATTTTTACGCGAAACGCGAGATATACGTATATATACGTATATATGTATATATTCGTAAACTCATTAAAAGTTTTTCCATTCTAAACGTATTCGTTAATTTCGTTTGAAACGGCCATTATATAAACGTACAATTAAATTAAATCGCATACCTATCTTACTAGCAAGTAAATGTTCAACGTTCCATCGTGGTTTACTAGTCGTAATGCTATTTAATCTAGATCAGTAATCAACGAGAACGATCGAATAAATTTTAAATCCTATAATATTCTCTATTACCCTTTAAGAGGAAATTGCCGACAAGATGCGAGACAAGTTAATTCGACTATTACGGCAATTGGAGCATGTCGTATGCGTTCAGAATCAAAGTTAGTTATTAGACAAGACAAGGATTACTCACCGGCTATGAAATGTATGGAACCAAGTAATCTAGTATGTTTTGGAGTCCTTAGTATATGGGGTAGAAAAGAAGATGCTGCTGCTAAAAGAGTCAATGCACCGATCACAGCAATCGATACACCAATCCCCATCGTTACCGTGCTAGCTTGCCACCATGCGCTTGGTATATCCCAGAAACTGCAAATTTCATTTTATGTTGAACCTCATATTATTAAATATTCTATAAACATTCTTAATCTCTCATTCTCGGAGTAAAGTGGATGGGGTAGATGGTGGATGGGGGAGGAGGGAGGTCAAGAAAATATTCGAAGACTTCTTCAAATTTAAAAACATTCTCTAGATTGGACAAAGTATTTGGAGTTTTTAAATATATATATATATATATATATATATATATGAAAACAATTTTTATGCTCTATAAAGTACGTAAAGAATTTCAAAAGGGTATAGTGTTTAACAAGTTAAATTAAGGTACAGTAGAGGGTCACTACTCACCGGCATTCTATTTTTCAAACATTTTTATTTCAAACATTTTTAAATATACTTTGTAACGTTTAGATAATTAAATGTATACTTCTTAATATAAAAGTAAAAAAGTATGACAATAAATTCTCATGTATATTTTATTTACAAAAATTATATATATATATATATATATATATATATATATCCAATGCAAAATTGATTTGGCACTCAACGTATATTAACCGTGCATACGATAAAAGATATATATATAAAAAAAAAAAAGAAAAAAAATCTTTATCATTTCTCTTCGAAATTAACTAAAAAGATGTTATTTCATTTCAATGCAAATATTTTTCTGATAATCACGAAAGATATCTCTGAACGTATATCTGTATGTACGTATATACATATGTACGTATTTACGTGCATGTGTGTTTGTGTGTGTGTATGTTTGTGTGTGAATATGCCGTTCACAGCTTCGCTTGGGATATTCCATCCCGTGTTGATCGTCGTCATTGTTTGCCTCTGTTACGTTACGTTCGGGATATCTGTTGCCAGTTACAGAATAATTTATACGTCATCCCTACCGCAATATACCTTACACACTCGTAATTAATTCCAAGTTCGGCTATCAACGAATACTAGAAAGCCGTTCTCCCATTGTTTCGAATGCTATGAAATATACATATGTATTATATTATGACATTAAAGAGTATATTTTCTTGGTCAAGAAATTGAAAACTAATAGAACGATATAGAGTTAAATAAAATAACGTATTTGATTTATCAAAACTTTAATTCATATTTATATGTGTGTAATAATAAAGTTATTACCTAGACAACAATATTCATATACTTTAATAATAACTAATAAGATTATGTGTATATTTGAAATTGAATGCCTTTTAACAATGATTAGTATCGTTTGAAAATTTATTGCCTTTGAAGTATTTTAATTTTATAATCGAACAAGAAAATTTCATTTCTTTCACCAAATTATTTTCACTTAATTTCGATTATTTAACGATTATTTCAATTCATCCCACACAATGAAAATTTCAAATGACTTTCATTTTGTTTTTCTCTCTTCATGTCTCTTTCACCTCAAAACTAACATCGAGCTATGAAATGAAACATTTGACAGATTAAATGAAAGTAGATCGATTAATGATGAACAAATATTGGATGCATATACACAACATCGATAGGTAATCATTAATGTGAAAGATTCTTCTCAATTGAATACGCCTGAGGGAAACACAAAAGTTAAATCGATTGTATCCATCTGAATTTGTCGGTCTCACAATTATTTATATTGCATAGTATACTCAGAGAGACGATATATATTTTTTAATTTTCTTTCTTTTTCAAACTGTAATCGACCGTGAACGTTCGTTCAATTTGCATTTTGTCGTGATATTAATGTTTTGTTAGTGTTCTTTTTTTTTTCTTTTTTTTTTTTACATACTTCTTTTACAAATAGCACTTTGACATCTTCGTTAATGACAATTTATTTCCAATAAATGTATTTACGCCCATCGATGAATCCCGTAAAATTACATTTTTATAGAGTACATATACGAGCATATATATTTATATTTACATACATTATATATATATATATATATATATATATATATATATATATATATATAATTCAATACACTCAAAAAAAAAATATTTCTCTTGGTTCTACCTTCAAAAAAAAAAAAAAAAAAAAAAAAAAAAAAAAAGAAAAAAAAAAAGAAAAAGAAAAAAAGAAAAAAAAACTAAACAATAATAATAATCTAAACAAATTTTTCCCTCACTTATATGCGATATTAAATGAATAATGAAGAAAATAAGTAATTCATTTTTTCTCCCTTTTTATCATATAACATTATTTTATTATATAAAATTAGCCTAAAGGCATCCTATAATAAAATATACAAATAAAACGAAATACATATAGATCATAATTAATTATAAGAAATTTTAAACGAACTTGCGCTTAACAAGATTTCAAAGGGAACGCTTTGTTTTTTCATGCGTTTAGAATTTCTGTACACCACTCGAATATCTTTCCGCTTTACGTATACGAGCGTTATGTATTTATGTGTCACTTACGCATATATACAGGCGCAAATACACGCACGCGTGTATACGGGAAAATTCAGAGGAAGAGATTCAGTTTTGGCAAACAATGGGGCGGACGATATTTGCCATTTTCGAGCGGGCACAGTGGTGATACATTCAGGAATTTCTGGTTGCGCTAAACGAGAAGGATGCGGTTCCGGTCGCGGAAACGCGGGTAAATGGGCGGCACGTGTATACACAAACGTACCGCAAACGTATACATAGACATATATCTATAGGAACTGTGGAGATGGCAATGAATGTGAGAATACGCACAATCAATAAATAAACAAACGCATATATGTACATACGTACCTAGAGTACCGAGCACACTCGTAAACTATCTCAGGAGTAGCGTTAGGTGCCCTGATTCGTGGATAGTTGCAACGCCGAAAGGAACTAAAGTACGCGTCGGCCTTTCCCAGCAGTCGTCCCTGAAAAATATAAAGACATAAATCTAAACAGACGTCGGTGTGCGCTTACCGTTCGCTATTTTAAGGTCGTATGTACCAGAAAAAGGTCTGCTTCGCGCTTCACGCACCGATCTTACGCGGTCGTATTTTACGACGCGATTCTGTGGAAAAATATGACGGGAAACGTTTGCTGAAATATCATGTTAAGAAAAAGAAATATAAAATTTATAGAGTATTTCAAAGTGAGGAAATGCTAATGACGTATAAATCCAATTTCAAGTCCTTTATAAAAGTCTCCTTAACGATAATGAATTTATGAATCAATGAATATGAAAGATTAAGAAGAAAAATCCTGCCTTATTAGAAAGAAAATAGATTTATCATTGATGTCAATGATGTCGTTGATTTCATTTCACATAAAAAACAACGACTGAGTTAACGAATTGTAATGAAACGAGGAATCAATACATGGACACACGCACGCACACGCACGCACACGCACACACATACACACATATAAAAGAGAAAACCAAAACGTTTCGAAAGCAGCTTCATTAAACATGAGCTTGATTAATAGATACATAAACAAACGCGTGATTAATTTCGTATCCATTTAATTTTTCCGCGTTTACTTTGCGTAAAATCGGATTACAAAAAAGGAAAGGAAAAAAAGAAAAGGAAAAAAAAAAAAAAAAAAAAAATAAAAAACATACTAAAAAAGAAAAAATGAAAGAGAAAGAGATAACGATCAGAGGACGATTTCTAAATATTATCGCTGCGTTGAACGCGTTCATTTTTCAACGTTCTCGTTATTCTGCATTACGCGTTACCCTGTTATATCGACCAACACGCTAAAGTATTTTCATAAGTAACTAAGTACGTAAATAAGTAAGTAAGTATGAGGAAAAATTTGCATGCAAACGGCAAAAGAAGGAAAATATTCTCGGAGTAAAACGGTCGTACGTCGTCGTTTTTTATTTAAGAAAAAATATAAAAGAAAAAGAGAAATAATCTACTTATACAAATCCGTGCAAAGAATTTCATCGAGTCGCGTTGCATGAAATTATCCTTTTCGATCAACGATAAATCGAATCTCACGCTGTGCGAATTTTACGACTTTTGTAACTCCTAATTGGCTCAAGTCCTAAAGTTTCGTATATAAATCACAGGATAAAGTCGACGAAAAAAGTCGACTTTTGCAAACCACGTGTCTCACTACACCAACATTGCTATTCGAAGGAGTGTTAAACTGATTACTTGCACGTGATTTTGTCTTTTTTTTCGATCGAGTAATCATCAAATTATATATAAATGATAAATTATAATGTAAAAAAAAAATAGCTTTGTGTTATGGGAAGCGTTCAATTAGAGCGTATATATTATCTTATTATCTCTCTCTCTCTCTGTCCCTTTCTCTCTCCCTCTCTCTCTCTCTATCTATCTATCTCAATCTCTGTATAACTTTCTCGCTCGTGCTCCATCATGCTCGACGAAACGTTTAAAGGCCTTACTTTTCTCTCTCTCTCTCTCTCTCTCTCCCTCTCTTTATCTATCTCTCTCTCTCATGCAGAATTTGTAATGTGGCAATTTCGAGAACCATCGGTATGCTAATAACCGCGTTACCTCGAGCTCGTACGTTCCGCATATTCTTCCAAGGTATCCTTTGCCAGGATACACTACACTATCTTGGCGTTATCTCGGGCAAAAACGCGCGGCGACTTCGAAACTACAACAACGGCGCCAGGTTTCGGTCGATTAAGAATCCTAATCAGGCAGCGTCTCCTTCGAGAGGAGGCTCGAAAAAGAAAAAAGGAAAAAAAAAAAAAAAAGAAAAAAGAAAAAGAAAAAAAAAGAAAAAGAGAAAAGGAGAAAAGGAAAACGAAAGGAGGAGACAAAAAAAAGGGAGAGAAAAAGAAAGAAAACTTTTCGTATAAATCACGGTAGAGAAAAAGGGGTGACAAAAAAATCGAAGGACTTTACATACATATGCATGATGTATGGTACATTCTTTCTAAAAAAAATTTATGGATATTATCCTATCTCCTTGGATTTCCTTATATCTTTTCTAATCCTTATATAGCTTGATGTTTTAGTGATAGAAACGTTTTTCAGGAAATCAACATATTTTTTAACGTTTTGTTCTTATCGCCAAATAAAAAATAATATCCTTATATGTCAAAGTATACTAAACTAAATATTTATCGTCGTTCTTTATCACGAATTCGAATTATTTATCTTGGAAGATTCCCCCTTAAAGTAAAATTTCTACATCGTCGTCGTGAAAAAATAATGGGTAGAGGGGAAAAAAAAAAAAAAGAAAAAAGCTTATTTGAAAGTAATCACTCTGCGGTGTTTGAAACTCTTGACTAGGGAGATTTTTGTAAATGTGTATATGTGTATGTATGTATGCATGTAGTGTAGGTGTAGGGTCCGAGGAGAGATAAAAAGAGAGGTAAATTCGCAGCTGGCCGACATATTTGCGAATAAAAAGGTAGGATAACGCGTTTGGAGATTCCTGTTTTCTTATGCAAATGTAACGTAGGGGTGGTTCCGCACGCTTTGATCCTATATGCGTAAAATTTTGTTCGCTCCTATCTTCTATCTATTTCTCTTTCTCTCTCTCTCTTTCTCTTTCTCTTTCTCTCTCTCACACACACACATACACATACTCACTTACTCGCGACCGTTTTGTAACGAGACGATGTCGATGAATATAACATTAAATATCCATTGTTTCGTCAGAGTGCGTCCGCTTCAGTGCGACATTACGCGGATAATAAAGTTCGAATCCGCTAATACTCGAATATTGACTCGGTAGACCGCGTTCGCTCGGTGGTAATTCCCAACAAAGGAATACCTACTACCGACTAATTTATTGAAATATACCGACGTTCCTATAATCCGATTACGTCATGTAATTACGAGACCAAAATCAAGTATTAACCACGGTGGCCCTTAACTGTCGCGCACAATCCTACGATTTGTAACTATCATATTAAGTGTGTGTGTACATGTATATATATATATATATATATATATGTATATATTTATATATATATATATATATATATATATATACGTACACATGCATAAATTAAAAATGAAATATATTCGAGATTTGTTACTTCTACTTTTTAATTATTGTATCACGTTCGTTTATTATTTCACGTATTACATTTTAACCTTAATTCCGTTTGCAATGGTGTTTTGTCAAAAAACCGAGTATAATAAATCAATCTAACTCTCCCTCTCCCACTCTCATTTTCTTTTACTATTTTCTTTTCTTTTATTTCTTTTGTCTATCATTCTCACACGTACGCATAGATATCGATCGACTCTCTCTCTCACTCTCTCTCTCTCTCTTCTTCGCTGTATCCTTCCATCTTCGCGAGAAAAGACAGGAGGTAACAAAACAAAACAAAAAAAGAAAAGAAGAAGAAGAAAAAGAAAAAGAAAAAAGAAGAAAAATAGAAAAAGAAAAAGCAGAAAAAGAAAACAAAAAAGAGAAGCTACGAGTACTATGCTTTTGCTCGGCGATAAGTCTCTCCTTTCTTCTCCTTTCGTTGCAAAAGCTCGATATTTATGTGTGTTAGTGTATGTCGCAGAAGAAGGCGTCTATGGCTAAAGGAAACGGGTGTAGAGAAACCGAGAGGAAGAAAGAAGGAAAAGAAGAAGGAGAGAAATACCGTAAGGAGGGTGGGTCTATGAGACGAACATTTCTCAACGGAGATCGGCCAATTGCTCGGACGTATCGCGCTTTTCCGCGAAGCAACGAAGCAACGGCCGGATATCCGTCGCGGCTAGAAACGTCATCCGTATCGTCGTATAAAAAAGGTACGAGTAAAGTTCTATGTCGGGGCAACCGCTCGAAGCAACCCCTACTTTTCTCTCTCTCTCTCTCTCTCACACACACACACTCTCTCTCTTTCTCTATCCCTCCCTCTCTTTTTCTGTGTTACACTACTTACGGACGTAAACCGATCGTACGGCAAAGACGGATTTATGTGCTACTAGGAAAGGGATACATGTGTACGATGTTCTACGTTACACCGCCATCATTTTTCTATTTCCCTCTTTTTCTTCCCTTCGTTCGTTCGTTCGTTCGTTCGTTCGTTCGTTCGTTTGTTCGTTCAACGAAGGAAAAAAGAAAAAAAAGGAAGGTACCTACCTAGGTAATATAAAAATATAAATGTGAAAATTATTTAAAAGAATCTATATTTATATTATATATAAAATATTATATTTATATTGCTATGTCTGATCATCGTAACAAAATAATCTTCAATTTTTATATAATTTTTGATCATTAATTTAAGGAGAACGTTTTATCATACTATAACACTCTAATCGTATTACTTTCTGCGGTTTCATTCTTTTGCAAAACGTTAACAAAGTGCTCGATCAGCAACATAAACGAACATATAATATTCATACGAACGTGTGATGTATGAATGAAACGTGCATGTTTAATTTCTATGCGTATATATGTATATATATATATATATTTTGTATCGAAGTAGTTTTTTGGTTGAGACAAAAGAATGAAAACAAGCACGTGTATAGAAATGTATATTAAAAAAAATAAAAAAATTAAAAAAATACAAAATATACAAAAAATATAAAAAAAAACAACAACAATAGCTCGAAAACATTTTTGGGGCTAGGATTTCGAACAAGCTTATACATTGTATACTTTTTCAAGTTTCGATTGAAATATCATTGATCCGTGAATTTCTACGTGATGTGTGATGTAGATTTATACGTGTCTACGTCCTTTGATTTGCTTTATACAGTCGATCGTGATTGTTAAATTGTTTTTATACAAACGTGTTCGTAAAACGTATCACAGAAATATATTACGAGAATATATGTTTACGTTCGTATTAAAACGACTACTAGTATAAGCTATCTCTAATGTGGTTTTGTTTATTTGAAAATGATCACGCGTCTCTGTAATAAGTTCATTAACGATTTCATTATCATTAATAAGTAAATTAGTTTGATGGAAATGTTAAATCCGTGAACGGATTCGTTATGAATCTCTGTATAAACGATTATAACACATTTTGTGATACCACAAATGATACCAATGGTGTTTACATTAAAGCAAAGTCAATAATAAATTTTTCAAATTAATACGATCAATTGATAAACGTCTTTACATCTGTAAAGGCATATATAAAGCTCGATGTAAGAAAAAGATATTTCGATTCGTACTTTCGAAAAGTCTTCATAACTTTAGCGGTGCATAGCATACGTCAGCACAAGTAAGGATCTCGTTCGTACGATATGTGTGTGGTGATATCGACTGTAAAATAAAACTGAAAATATCTACACGATTTCCTCGTATCGCCGAACGTAATATACGTGCTAAACGATATAACAAGGGACTTCGATATATCTGTCTCGTAATGCATCTCGTTCGAACGAAACGAGCCAAGAGTAATAACGAAATATAAGAATGAGAAGAGAGAAAGAAAAAGAGAGAGAGAGAGAGAGAGAGAGAGAAATAGAGAGAGGGAGAAAACAACGATTAAAAATAAAAATAAAAATAAAATACAATATCTTCGAAAACGAAAATATCGACTTATATATCGGACCTTGTATATGTGTATGTATATATGTATATATATATATATACACGCGAAACTACTTTCAAGTAATTAACCGACGGAGCACGGTTAGTTAGAAAGAGCGAATTAAAGCCATTCGATTTCAATTTATTGAAGTCCATTAAAAGTTCGAGCTGAAAATTGGTAAATCGCTTAAAGCTTTGACTGTAGAAACCACGGCTTCTTTTTTCCTTCCTTTCTTTCTTCCTTTCTTTCTTTCTTTCTTTCTTTTTTTATTTCTTTTTTTTACCTTTATTCTTTATTACTGCTCGAAACAGCGATTTCGACGAACGAGCTTGAATTTCTACGTGAACAACCACCCGTAATTTGTAATTCATAACTAAGAACATATCACGAATAGGAAATGAATTTAAATAATATATTGTACCCATACATATATATATATATATATTTTTATATATATATATAAAATATATATATAATATGTATATACCGTATATTTAAATATTACTATTATTATATAAAACGTTATCGCAAGCGTTGAAACGTTGAGTTGTTTGCAAAGTAATTAAATTAAATTAAAAAAAAAAAGAGAGAAAGAGCACGCGAAAGAAAGAGAGAGAGAGAGAGAGAGAGAGAGAGAGAGAGAGAGAGAGAGAAAGAGAGAAAGAGAAATAGTGAAAAGAAATATTATATATATCATTTAGATTGATAATTCGTTCGAATTTATAAGAAAATTATTTTCGATATTATAATAGATCGTTTGAAATGGAAAATAAGAAAGCGTAAAGTAAAAAAAGAATGAAGGAAATTTTTCCTTGAAAGGAAACGTATCGTTCGGCGGAAGGAGCTCTTGCAAATAAACAAGTTCTTGGGTCGAGAGAAAAGAAAAAGCACAGTGTGCTGAGAGTTGATTTTCTTAAGAAAACATTAGTAAGGAAAGGTGGGCGCTGTTCTCGTTCCTCCTCTTTTTCCACGTGGAAGCTACGTGAAGAAGATGAAAAGAAACTAATTTAACGTTGATTCTCCGTTACGATCGAAGATGAGGTAAACGAAAAAAAAAAAAAAAAGAAAAAAAAAAGAAAAAAGAAAAAGAAAAAAGACTGCTAGAAAAGAAAAATGAAGGAAATGGGGATAAATGGAAAGTAACAAAAAAAAAAAAAGAGAAGGAGAGAGAGAGAATAAAGATATAACGTTTAATAATTTTGATTGTATAAAATATGACGAGATACATACAAGAAAAAAATAAAAAAGAAAATAATAGAAAACGAAAAAAAAAGAAGACAGAGAGAGAGACAGAGACATAAAATAGAAATGGAGATCGGGGTAGTGAATGTCGTTTACCTGTATCCAATAAGGCAAATAAAAGCCGGAACACGCTAGGATCGATGCCACAGTGGACAGAGTAGCCCACAGCACGCACAGCACTGTCATCTCATCGGTTTGAAAGCGTTCGCCTCATTCGCACTACCCTTTCACGTCGTTTCACGAGGTTCCAACGCTGAGACGAACGTCGGAAGCTCGAAAATCGAAGCCCGTACTATGTATTCTACCGCTTTCTTTTTATCCATAAAATATCCTGGCTGGAGTAACTTCCGTCAATCAAAACAAAAAAAAAAAGAAATTCGCAATAGAGAACTCTGCTTCTTCTGATTATTATTATTATTATTATTATTATTATTATTATTATTATTATTATTATTATTATTATTATTATTACTATTATTATTATTTATTATTATTATTATTTATTATAATTTTATTACTATTATTATTATTTTTTTTTTGTTATTATTATTATTATTATTATCTCCTTTTGCTATATTATACTTTTCCTTTTCCTCTTCACTTTCTTCGTGTTATTGCTCTCTTGAACAAGATCGAGAAATGTCATAGATCATCAATTGAGAAGAAATAATGATCGTTCGTAGATTATTAAAGATCAACAAAATTCTTCGTTCAATTCGTCGTCTTCTTCGTATCTCTCTATGACCTTGTCCCACTGTCTATTTTCTCAAGGAATATATCAAAATTGTTTGTGTCGTACGTGTTGTATACATACAGAGAGGACTAAGCGACCGGCTTGCTTACTCGTATGCTTGCTTGAATGACGTTGAAAGTCAAAATCGGAGCTTCCCAGCTGAAGAAGCTTTGTCTTTCTCCCTCTCTCTATCTATCTATCTCCTCCTTCTTTTAGAAAGAAGATGAGAAACACGCTCGAAGCTAATTATAACTTAACGCATGGTCTCGTATACACATCTCTTTATATATTTATACACACGCGTATATATATGTACGAATGCGTGTAAACGTATGCGTGTATACTTCGAAGAGAACACACGCGTGCTCTTAAAAGAAGAGAAGAAGAAGAGAAAGAAAGAGGAAAGAAATAGAAAAAAAAAAAAAGAAATAGAGAGGATGGAGATGGAGATGGAGGGGAAGAGGGAGAAGAGAGGGAAACAATCGACCGTATTATTTATGACTTTTTCTTCGCGTGTTTTTCTCCCACCCGAGTCGAACGCACGAAATTATATATTTATATGAAAATTTCCATTTTGTTCCGACACGTCCGAAAAAAAAAAAAAACGAACGACGGCTTAATAAACGTAAGAGTGAACGTTGAACCAGTGAGAGACAAAAGGGAAAAAAGAAATATCATGCACGAATTTCTGATACCTCGTGTCTGTCTCTACTACCTAATCCGAAGTTGACGCGCGCGGTGCCGCGTCGGAACTGCGACTGGACCGTTCTCCTCTTCGTTCTTCATCCCTCTCTCTATCTCTCTCTCTCTTTCTCTCTCTCTCACTGTCTCTCCCTTTCCCTTTCCCTCTCTCTCTCGCTCCTCTATCGCTCTCTCTCTCTCTCTTTCTCTTGCGCGCTCCTGTACTGTTTCTCTCCCACCACTAGCATCTCATTGCTCTCTCGCTCGCTCCGTTTGCGTCCTCTTCTCTCGAACAGCGTGGTGCCACAGCATCTCGGTTGAACCATCTGGCGAATGTACCAAAATATATATATATATATATATATATATATATATATATATACACATACATATATATATGTATATATATACATATATATATTTATATACAGCCATATATATATATATATATACATATGTCTATATGTACGTAACTATATATGTATTATATTTCTATATATGTATAATACATGTATACATCGAATTACCGGTAGGAGACGCGTGCACGCTTCTCTCTCTCTCTCTTTCTCTCTCTCTCTCTCTCTCTCTCTCTCTCTCTCTCTCTGTGAAGTCGCGCAAGCTCTATATATATATACATGCATTTACTCATACGTATTTAGCTTCCCAAAAGATGGAGAGAGAGAGAGAGAGAGAAAAAGAATAAACAGAGAATACACATGAACGAACTAGTATACCTTAAACACCTTGTGAGCCTTAATAAATCATGCAATTAAAATGCACACGATAGAATTACGATCTTATATATTTCAAGATTAATTAATTTATGAATTAATTGTATTCAATGTATACGACAAATTGACAATGTTTTGTATTATATCAATGAGATGATGATAATAATAATAAAAGCGAATATTTTACGAAACTTACATATATTCCCTGATTTTCCTCTAGCTAATTGTAAGCCTATCCATTAAGTTCCCCTTTCACTTCTCTCCCATTATTCTTCTTCCATTAAGTATGTTCTCCTGCCGGACATGAACGCACCTGCACGCGATCACGGCCAAGTACGAGGCTTACCGTTGTATGTAACGCAACATAGGAGGATTCCTATCATCCCCTAAACTACCCCCTTTCTATCACCGCAACCACTGCCACCACCATCATCACCACTACCACCACTATTACTATTACATAACACACATGCACAAACAGACGCACGCATGCTGTGCGTGCTAGTTGCGTTCTCCTCTCCTAACGTCTCATGGTTAGCCAGAAAGTAATCTGTGGTTTGACCCAGTTAACACCAAAACGTTACTACCTTCGATTCGTCTCTCTTCCTCTTCCTCTTCCTGTTCCTGTTCCTCCTACTCCTCCTGTTTCTCATCCTTCTCCTGCCGAGGAAAACGTCAACAGCATCGACGAGCTTGCCATTGCACCAATTGGTTTCCGTGTTTAACCGACACCGTCACTGATTCCTGCTTAATCGCTTCGACATGGACTATATTGTCAAATTGACTCTAACCGACACTATCCACGGTTCAGTTATTTTCTTATAGAATCTTATATATTACGGGAATATTAATTTTATAAAAAAATCTAAAGTCTAAATCGATTCTAATTGAATCGTTTCCGATGTAAAAAAGAAATAAATATAAATATTGTTCAAACGATTCTTTTAACAGATACCTTCATCCCTGTATTAAACCTATTTTCGATTCGTGTCTAAACAAAAAATATATATATAATTATGTATAATGTAAAAATTATATAGTGTTAATTAAACTAATATATTATATTATACTAAATGTATCTTACACTTAAAAAAAAAAAAAAAATATATATATATGTATAACTTCAAAGTTAATTGTTGTCATAAAGAATTATACATATATAAATGCCTACATATTCTGAAAATTTAAGGAATCAAATTTTTATCTTAATTTCTACTAGGATAAAAATTTCTATATTTTTCAATATTTTTATTCAATTCGTTAATAACCAAATAATTATTAATTAATGCCAAACGACGGCAATACAATACATAATGAAATATTTTTTTGTTCAAAGAAGTGAAAGAACTTCCAATCTATTTTGAAATACATGAAGGAATGTATATGATTTGAAAAAGAGCAGTGGAAAACTAGCGAAAACATCACGACATCCCCATGGGGTATTTATGTTATTACGTGATACTACTTTGCTTGGTAATTTTACGTCGCTACTCATTCGCGTTACATCTTTTTCTCTTTATTTCTCTCTCCCTCTCTCTCTCTCTCTCTCTCTCTCTCTCTCTCTCTCTCTCTTTCTCTCCCCTACACGAATTGGAACCATACGAGAAAAGACGCATGATAGCACATTCGCGTGCACGAACTCCCTCGTCATAATTTTCTCATTCGCGATGACGATAATGCTTCTCTCTCGAAAACGGGCGAAACACGTGACATCTCTGGAGATCACCGAGTGTTGGTCTCGAAAAGAAAAACGTCTCGTTCATCTTCTTAAGAATGGGGGAGAAAATTTCGGAGGTAAAAATTAAAAGCTTTCTTAAGGCGAACATGCTGGGATCTATAAAAAAGAAAGTAAAAATAAAATGTAAAAGAAAATCCTTTTCTTACAGAGAAAGAGAAAGACAGACAAACAGGCAAACAGACAGACAGAGAGAGATAGAGAGAGAGAGAGAGAGAGAGAGAGAGAGAGAGAAAGAGAGAGAGAAAAAGAGTACAATATTTATTATTGCAGCCCTGTAATTACAAATATATATCAAGTCCACCGATAAATTTTTAACTTCCATCAAAACGAGAAAAAGATTATTAATATTAATAGAAATAATATTATTAAAAACAATATAAATATAAAAATTGTATTATTTTTTTTTTATTTAAAAAAGTAGATAGAATTTTTCGGTAGATCTATTATTATCTAAAATATCACGAGAGAGAGAGAGAGAGAGAGAGAGAGAGAAAGAGAGAGAGAGAAGAAAACAATGATAATAATAAACAACTCGTAAAAGACAAATCAAGAAAATATAAAGCAATATGATGATAGTAAAATTAGAGATAGAAGTTATAGGGAGAAATCGGAGGAGCAAGTAAAGACAGCAAATCGAAGGGAAGGAAAGCACAGAAGTAAATATTTTCTTTTGGTACGAGGGTTAACTTTCCTTCATATCTTACAAGACGTAAGACCAACGCGTTCCCATGTAAAATATAACCACCGTGGCCTTAATTTTTTAGCTTTGGGTGCCTACAACATTGGGCCATAGATCTCCAGGGTAAATAACAACCCCCTGACATTTCTCCCATCGCTCTTCAGCAAATTTTTTTTTCTTTTTTTTTTTCTTTTCCTTTTCCTTGCTTCCTCCCTTCTTCTTCTTCTCTCTCTCTCTCTCTCTCTCTTTCTCTCTCTCTCTCTTCCTTTCTTTCATTTCTCTCTCAAGCTCAATTTCATGTGGAACCACTCTCTCACCCTTTTTATCGTTTCTCCCTTTTTGCTATCCTTTCGTTTTGCTTTCCTTTCTTTTTGGATGGACTCGATCACCAACGTCTCGGACGTTACGTGATCTCGGAGAAAAGCAAGAAAACGAAGAACGAGTAAAAAAAAAAAAGGAAGGAGTTCTGAAGGTAAGCTCGATCTCCCTTAAAGCCAAGGGACGAAGCCGTTCGCGGTAGGATTCGGGCCATCGTCACTGCCCTCCGAGTTCCCCACCTCCGTTTGGCACGACTCGAGCGCTCGCATTAGGGAAATGAACTGCTGGTTTTTATGGTCTCTGAGAGCTTCTCGCATAGAGAGAGAAAGAGAGAGAAAGAGAGAGAGACAGATAGAGAGAGAAAGAGAGAAAGAGAGAGAGAGAGAGAATGAGACCGAAAGAGAGAGAGAGAGAGAGAGACGAAGGAAAAAGGCGAGTGGCGAAGGATCGTATAGGAAAAGAGAGAAGGTGGATATAGAGAAAGAGTAAGAGAGAAAGAGAGAGAGAAAGAGAGGGAGAGAAGAGTAGAGGAAAGCGACGATGCAGAAATGGTACGGTGTAACGTTCTATTTCGTAGAGAACGGAATGAGAAAGTTGCCATTCTGTCGGAGTGGTGTAGGAGAATTACCAACTGGCTCGGTCGTCCTCTGTCTCTATCTCCCTCCCTCTTTCTCTTTCTCTTTCTCTCTCTCTCTCTCTCTCTCTCTCTCTCTTTTGCTCTCTCTCTCTTTCTCTCTCTCTCTTACTAACTGACTTTCCAACCCTTTCCTGTTTCCTTGATAAGGGTGGATAGGGACGGAGGGGTTGTCGCTCGGGATGAACCTGGCAGGGCGGTAAAGTCTAATTTCGGTGTAAATTCCGGAGAGTTTTATTGCCTTGAGTCCGTGGCTTTAGCCTGCCACCCTCGAAATCTCGTTCGGCTAAGCATATATTTATGCGAATACCCGCTTCGAACCTACCCGACGAGCCCGACGTTTGAGATGATAATAAAAAGCGATAATTTCGTACTACGGACAAAAACAACATTGATTTATGTAAAACTATATGTATGTATGTATATATGTATGCATGTATATGTATATATATAATATATTATATATATATATATATATATATATATATATATATATATTATAATATATATTGTACATATATATGTCAAGAAGAACAAAGGATATCTAAGAGTTTGAAGATACAATGTAGCCATTTTTTTTACGGTAATTCGTAATTGTCTGGCGCTACCACCAACTGTAATAACCGTAACAATCACAACGATGACGCTTGAGAAAGTCTGTAATGAAAATAACGATAATAATAATCCTGGTTCAGTCTCACTGTCACGTTCTTTCTGTGAAAGCAACGAAAGAAAACCATGGTGGAAAATTCTCTCAGCATATCCATCGTCCAAGGCCGTAAGACGAGGACAGTCGCTATCATTTCGAACGGATTATGCCGGCAGATTTATTTTTACGAGCGGCCAAATACACTGGCCGATCTCGATCTTCTTCTCGAGACGACGAACCGATAACGGTTTCGCCGATTTGCAGGGAATGTTCAATCGATAAAATACTGCTCTCTTTCCTCTCTCTCTCTCTCTCTCTATCTATCTATCTATATATCTATCTATCTATCTATATATCTTTTTTTTTCACTGAATTCTATGAGACATAGGAAAAGCTATTTTCCATAACGTGCGTTTATACTCGACTCTACGAGTCTATAGGGCTTTTCGTAACGGACGTTATTCTTTAAAATGGTTTCGCATTTAACTAAATTTTACGGTGTCTTGCAGAAGTTTTCGTCTTTCATTGTTGTAAACGTTCATCGCCTTCAGTTCCTTTACTTTCCAAAGCATATAAACGTTTGCTCATGAAATATCTTATAGTTATAAGATGAAAAATTAAGGAGCAATAACTTATAAATAGACGTAATATTTTGTTGATAGACAATGACGACAACTACTGCGACGAGACAGAATGGTTCATCGACGAACTACCATACGATAGAACTTCAACGACAAAAACCGGCGCCAACGTCCGACGCATAGTCTCTTCTATAAGATGAAGTAGCTAAAGTACGTTCGTCGAGATAAGAAACGATTTCACGGAGGTGAACTCGGCGAGATAAGAACTTTACCAAACGACGGTGTAAAATATATCTGTAAAGTGGATAGTCTACGCTTCAGAGTGTGAGATGCAAGCGAATGAAAGTAAATCATTCGTCGGGATACTCTCGATTCTTAATCGTAAAATTGTAATACCTTTAAAGAGACCACCAAAGGATCTAAGCTTTACTATCAGCATCGGTGAATTCCACAAGGCAGAAAAACTGGTAATCCTTTCTGTAAGATAAGAAGAATTTTATTAAGGTCTAGATCTTTCCTAGATCAATTCTACCGATCTATCTGAACAATTTTATCAAAATTGTTTTTAAAGGCAACTTTTCTTATTGAAAATAATAGTATTCTATAGACAGTCAATGATATAAATCAACTTGATCATAAATACAAACATTACCTTAAAATATAAAAGTATGCAATTGTAATTTATATTTTTTATGAAAAAAAAAAAAATTCAAATGATATTATATCACTTTTTCAACATTATATTAACTTAATATCTTCTTTTTTTTTTACATAAAAGATCAAATAGAATAACTTTTTAAAGATGGATTTAATATTCAAGTTTATTTTATATAATATCTTTTTTATATTTATTAATATCTATTAATAATATTATTTCGGAATTTATATTTCTCGATATTTTATCATCATACAATTATTCTCTTACCTATAACTATTATATATACAATTTTCATATTCATAAATTCTTATAAAAAGTGAGTATATGTACAACACAGTGAGTATTTGTACATATACATGAAAGTATATGTACAAATATATATATCTCAGTTTTCATATGCTACATAGATTAATATGAAGAATTACAAATTATCTACAAAAAATATTTTTATTATAAAATACTTTTAAATAAAGTAAATATTTAATGAAACAATGAAAACCTATACATACTGCAAATTCTCCTGCTTCTAATATATGGTTATATAAAGAATTAATAATTTTAATGTACAATTTCAATTAGTCTGCAGTTGCCTATTTAAACAAATAATTAAAGGAATAAATAATAAATCAAATAGAATAATAGAAAATACAAAATAAGAAGTAAAAAAAGTTTAGTTAATTAATTCTTTTACCATGAATATTATATCAGCTTTCTTAAAATTCAGTCTATGTTTGTTCCTATAATTTTTGCTTCATCCTCTTCCATTGTTCCAACTAATCAGATTAATTTCCTTGCAACTGAAATATAAGCATCAAAACATAATTATTTTTTCTCTTTATTAGAAAATCAATAATTTATGCACTTTTAATCAACTGAGGACTTATTATACATTTCCGCACATTTTAC